TTCCCTTATATCAGATCATCCACAAAATTTGAACGAGATATCTCCTTCCTTCATCCTGTCATCTCATCGCCTCCATGTGTCGCCTTTTCGCTCATGTTCTTCCTCGACGTTAGGTGATTTCCGATGATTCACTTTTGATCCACCATCAAACGGCTTCCCCTAACATCCTTGTTGTCGTGATTTGGTACAACAAAAATCAAACTCACTGTCAATCAACCGCAATCACTATCTATTTAAAAAAAATCATCATAGATCTCATTGGAAGTGATTAATACAAGCGCATCTAAATCCTCCGACGTTTACAATCAATTTTTTTAGCTCATGTGACCTTGTAATCGTCGGGATCAGTCATCGGTGTACGGTTAGATTTGTTTCCATTTCTTTGAATTTATTCATCTATGATTAAATGATTTCCCTCGAATATCTATGTCATAAGTAGATGTCATTTAGCAGCTTACTGTATTGGATTTAAATCACGATTAATGTTCTTAGAAGGTATATTCATTTCTATGGAAGAAGCGTGGTGTTCCTGAAACTTCGATTCTATTCATGCTTATGAATAAGGAATAAAAGCTTATAGCTGCATTATTTTATCCTTGCTGTGAATCAGAACTGGAATAAGCTAATTTCTTAAAGTCCTCTAGTTCATACTCCACCTTTCTATCTCATAAATTGATCGTTGATAATTATTTGAAGCCTTTTTCATATCAGTCGTTTGAAGGTTATTCTTGATATTCTGGAAATGCTAAAAAAGCCTAATATCGATGCAATGCTTCATTAATTTAGATTCCAAGTGTGTAGTCTCAATTATTTTCAGATATCTTTGTTTTTTTTTAATGATTTTTATGAACAAGTTTTATGTTGCCCTACAATTGCTTAATGAATTATATTTGGATCCCCTCACATTAATTTGGATTCCAGGTGTGTAGTCTCAATTATTATCCTTTTTGCCTTATATAATATCCATTGTATTAATTTGGATGTGATTCATATATTTACATGTGATTCACATGTAAATCATATGTGATTCACATGTAAATCACATGTGATTTACATATTTATCACATGTAAATCATATATGAATAATATGTCATTCACATGTAAATCACAAGTGAATTATATATGAATTACGTATATATGTACACATTCATATGTTATTCACATGAAAACCATATGTAATTCACATATTAATCACATTTCATTCACACGTAAATTACATATGATTCACATGTAAATCACATGCGATTCACATGTAAATCATATGTGATTCAGATGTAAATCACATGTGATTTACATATTAATCACATGTAAATCATATATGAATAATATGTGATTCATATGTAAATCACAAATGAATTATATATGAATTACGTATATATGTACACATTCATATGTTATTCACATGAAAATCATATGTAATTCACATACAAATCACATTTGATTCTCATGTAAATCACATATGATTCACATGTAAATCATATGTGATTCACATGTAAATCACATGTGATTTACATATGATGTCATATGTAAATGTGATTCATATGTGAATTGTATGTGATTCATATTTGAATCGTATGTGATCCATATGTTAATCACATGAAAATCACATATGCATTTTTGTAAGTGTTTTTGCATCAATCATTTTTTAAAATTTTCTTGTAGATTTGGAAGAAATTATAGTGAATTTTGAAAATGTGAAAAATGATAAATTGAAGAAAATAAGGAAATATTGACACGAAGACATGAAAATGCTTTGAAATTTGTAGCATTTTTTATATTTTATTTTGTATTGAATAAAATAATTGTACTATTATGTTTATAGATTAATTAATAAAAATGAGATTTTTTTTTGTGATTTACTTACGAATATTATACTATAAGAAATATACATACGTGCATTTGAAAGAATGTGCATATATGCACCTAAAAATTTACTTTTTATAACAAAAATGCAGTTTTTTTTTTTTTTTTTTATTTTTAAATTGCAGTCTTTTTTAAATGCAATTTAAAAAAAATGCAATTTTTTTGAAAAAAATTTAAAAATGTAGTTTTTTTTAAAAAAACTGCAGTTTTTTTTTTAATGAAGTTTTCTTTGAAAAATTCAGTTTTTTTTTTTTTTTTTTTAAAAAAATGTAGTTTTAAAAAAAATATATTTTTAATTTTTTTTTTCAAAAATTCTTGTTTTCTATAAAAAATTAAAAAATCTACATTTTCTTTAAAAAAACAAAAATATTATATTTAAAAAAAATATGAAAATTTGATTTATGATGTAAATTTTTAGATATTTATATTAATATATTAAATAACACAAAAAAATTAAACATTAGATGAGATTAGTAAGATGACGATGACGATCATGTTCTTAATGAATTATTTTCGATCTAACGCTATACTTTTAGTTCTCGGGTTCTTAGAAAACTGTGAGTTCTCAACCGATTTTACCTATATATATATATATATATATATATATATATATATATATATATATATATAAAACAAAAATATTAAAGTAAAGGTAAAATAGTCATTTTAAATGAACTAAAGATAGAGAATCCAATTTTTTTTTTTTTAAATATAGGGATGCATATTGATAAATTTTTAAAGATTTGAATGACATGACCAAAACTTTAATTTACTCTTTTATTAAATTAAAAAGATAACACACATAGTACAAATGACAAGTTAAGGATGATTCCGTAACGATTACAAACGACAAAACTTCAAAAATGGTCCCTGTGGTTTCAAAACTTTTAACATTTGGTCATTCTGACTAACTCCGTTACCATTTAGCCGTTAAGTAAGGGGTATTTTTGTCATTTCACAAAAGAGGGACCATTTATGAAGTTTTTTGTTATTTAAAAAAATATAATTATTTAATAAAGGGTCTCTCTCTCTCATAGGTATAAGAATATATCTTGAAATGTCGCCGCCTCCCATTTGATCACCGCCACAACCAATTGAATATGTCCCTCTCCGTCCAGCACCAACAAAGCTAATCGAGAACCACCACAACGTACCAACCTACATCCCCAAAAACCTCTTTACTCGACCAAATGTTGTCGGTGTCTCATTTTGAATCTCATGGCATCCCTGATAAGCTTCTTGATGTCAAAGTAGTACTTTCTGAACACAAAATCGATGTTCAAGAAGAAACCCAAACTTTTCAAGACAAAATCGACAAGGTTATTCAAGAAACAAGAACAGGAATACTGAAGACCGAGATGGAATTGATGGATTCAAAGATTTTGAACCATTCACTTCAAAAAACGGACCCTCATTCCTTTCCAACTCTTCATCTCCTACCCCCTAATTCCATTCCAATGCAACTCTTGGACCAAGGGAAAGAGAAATTTTGGAAATTTTCAGAAAAGTCCAAGCCCAACTCCGGGAATGAGCTGCACAAAAAAGCTCCTTCTTCAGTGACCACTGGCAATAGCACACCTATAGAGCTTCGAGAAGCTTCAAAAGGCAGCACTGAAATCCTAATGGGGACTACCAGCACCTCCGATCCCCTGCTTTGCCTAATGGCATTTTCGTGATTTGTAACTCCACCATTAGCAGGAGTTGCTGTTGCTAAGCGTTCTCCACCGCCTAGGGATGAGTAAAAGGACCGAACCGGCCGGAACCGGGAACCGGCTTCGGCCAAAATCAAGAACCGAACTGGCCCGGCGGTTCTATCGGCTCCGGTTCTACCGGTTCTCGGTTCCTACCGGTTCTTGTCGTGTCTTCAATTGTTGGAACCGATCCTTGAAAAATAGCATCACACGGTTCCGATTTTTGCCGGTTTTACCGGTTCCGGTTCCTACCGGTTCCAAAAATCCACAAAAATAACATCCCGGTCCCGGCCCGACCGGTTCCATCGGGTTCCGGTTTCGGTTCCGGTACCGGTTTCGACCGGTTACCCGGTCCATTTGCTCATCCCTACCACCACCATTTGTTTCCCTCATCACTAAACCTAAAGAAAGGGCATATAAGAAGTTAATGGAATGGAAATCCATTAAAATCAGAATGTGAGGTCCTACCCTTTTTATGATGCTCGATCTGGATTTGACATGTTGACGAAAGAAGGAAGGAGATTGTCTAAGACTAAAGATCCACCTTCAGGCTATGATGAGGGAGGAAAAGAAGGATGAGATGGGGATCAGAGTGTTTACCAGAGGAACCGGTGAAAAACCTTTGTATTTTCAAATTGGGGGAGGAAGTTCTGAAATTCTCCAAAACCCTAGCGATCATAGTGGTTTTACCCACGCCCTGCGGTAGGGGTGAGCAAAAACCGAACCGACAAAAGAAAAACCGATAAAACCGCAATAAACCGCAACCGAAAAACCGAAACCGATGCAAAAACCAATGGTGCGGATTTAATTTTTGCAAAACCGAAGGTCAACGGTGCGGTGCGGTTTCTATCCAAAAAACCGGTCCAACAAAACCGAACCGCACCGCAAGCATGTATAGTAATAAATCAAATCAATGTATATTATATACATGTTATTTAAAATACTTATAAACGATAATATATTTATCATTTGTTTATTTTATGTTTGTGTAAGATTATATGGGGTGCAAAAAAAATGTTCTATTGTTAGTCAAACGTACTAATCGATTACATTAAATAAGCTTGTAACAAATTAAGTCAAAATCAACAAACTTTCAATTATTAATTAGTTTGTGAGAGTAATCGCATATCGTATTTTAAGCGACTTACAATTTTTGATTATTTATTTTTGTTTTAAGCTGAAAATGACTGGTTAAAAAAAACAACAAAATACAAGCTTACGTGCACATGGTTTTGAATTCTTACAGTTTTAAAAAACCGCACCAAAAAACATAAAAAAATGCACCAAATTCTAAACACGATTTAAAACCGAAAGCGCACCGATACAAATCGAAACCGCATTTAAAAACCGAAAAACCGAACCATTGCAAAACCGCACCCAACGGTTTTAAGAATGCAAAAACCGCACCATGCGGTTTGCGGTTTGGTTTGGTCTTAAAACCGCACCATGCTCACCCCTACCCTGCGGAGTCGAAGGTATACAGAGGCGATTCAAAACAAATTCAGATTCAAAACAAATTCATGAAGATATGGAATCAAATGATGAATGAGACATGGAATTTAATACAAGTTACAGGGAGCTAGTGACGAGAAAGAATTTTATACAACTTACAGGAGAGAGAGAGAGAGAGAGAGAGAGAGAGAGAGAGAGAGAGAGAGAGAGAGAGAGAGAGAGAGAGAGAGAGAGAGAGAGAGAGAGAGAGAGAGAGAGAGAGAGAGGTGGGACCATTGCATATTAAATTATTTATTTATTTTAAAAAAAGTAATACAAAACCTTATAAATAGTCCTTGAGTTGTGAAATGACAAAAATACCCTTATTTAATGGCTAAATGGTAACGGAGTTAGCTGGAAGGATTAAATGTTAAAAGTTTTGAAACCACAGAGATCATCTGTGAGGTTTTTTGAACTTAGAGATTAAACTTGATATTTTTGAAAATAATGAAACAATTTTTGAAGTTTTGTCGATTACAAACTCATGTAAAAAAAAACGATACAACAACATCGTTTTTACACATAACTTATACACATAACTTATATGATTTTATAATTATGTAATTTATTTCTTATAAAGATAAAGATGTTATTTTCCAGTTTTACCCTCCTTCATATTAGAATTTAGAAGCATTAGATGTACCCCACCAATCAGTATGTAATTCACTTTTGAAGAGTAATTTTGTTGTTTGAATGAAAAAGCAAATTTGTCATTAACGAAGCGAAGACAATCTTGAATCTTGATATTATGCATTAACACTTGTACTCTTTGCTGGCACCAATCAATTCCTGTTCTCTTTTATATTCCCCCAACCCAACAACAACGAACAACATAGCATGAGCTGCAATCTTTATGTTTTCCAACGGGAAAAAAGGAAGTGGGAAATTGAATAGAAAACAAAGAAAAAGGGGAAACTTTTCCTTTTACCAAACAGACGAAAGAAAGAAAGCGAAAGATTGAATTTTTCTGCAGATTCCTTCACTTTCATCTTGTGGGATTTGTTCGTTCAAACCACTAGATTAGTGGGTTTGTTCTGTTTCTTTTTTTTATTTTAATTAATTTATTTGGTATAGAAATTTTGTATGTTTACCGTGGATCTTCCCTAATTTCAAACAAGGTTAGTAGCTCTGTGTGTGTGTGCTGTTCGTGGTTTGGTATTTAGAAGATTCGGTGGAGATTAATGTGGTTTTGGTCGTTTTTTTGGCAGAGATCTTGCGTAATCATTTTAGGGATTTTGGTGATTTCTGGTTCTTTTTAACCGAAGCAGAAATCACAGTGCTTTTGTTATAGTTTCTCTATCCCTTCAAAGAAAAAGCTCGGATTAGGGATTTTTTGAGGGTTTCAATGTTCTTAATTCATCCAATTTGAAAATTCGCTCCCAAACCCTAATTGTGCTGTTGTGGAGATCTCGGATACATTTCATCATCAAGTTAAGAAAACCGTTTGGAAATTGGGGATATTTTTAGGGTTTGAATGCTCTTATTTCATTCAATTTGAAGGATTTGCCCTTAAAAAACCCTAATTGGTCTATTGTGGAGATCTGGGATATACTTCCTCTGTTATGCCGTATGAAGACGTTCTTTCCATCTGAATCTTGTAAAGAAACACATTTAAATGCTCTGAATCCGCAATCATGGCTGCAAGTCGAAAGAGGAAAGCTTTCAAAAGTCTCACCTCACTCCCCTTCTTCATTGTAAGCTTTTCCTTCGCTATTTTTAGTGGTTATTTGGTTGGATGTGCATTTTGAAAGTGGTTTACCGATTATCTCTGCAACAAAACTTATCATCATACAGTAAAATCACTTATATACCCTTATTGTAACTTCATTCAGCAAAATCCTATCAAAATGCTATCCAACACACATCATGTTTTGGGAGTGTTTGGATGTGCATTTTGAAATCAAAAACCCTTTTAGTTACACATATAGATGCAATGCAAATATGCAATGAATGATTCCCCTTTCTGATTTTGTTGTTTTGCAGAGAATCTCTGATCAAAGTACCGGATCCACCAATTCTTCCATTCTTTAAACCCGTTGATTATGTAGAAGTTTTAGCACAAATCCACAAAGAACTCGAATCATGCCCTCCACATGAGCGATCAAGCCTCTATTTGTTGCAGTTTCAGGTCTTCAAAGGCCTGGGTGATCTCAAATTGATGAGAAGAAGCCTTCGATCAGCTTGGCTCAAATCAATCACAGTCCATGAACGCCTCGTTTTTGGGGCATGGTTAAAATATGAAAAAAGAGGCGAAGAACTTATATCAGATTTACTCTCTTCATGTGGTAAATGTGCTAAAGAGTTTGGATTAATAGACATTGGTTCTGAGCTCCCATCTGTCACAAATGATAATAGTGTCGCAAATGCTGCAATGATGAACCACAACACTTATTTATCAGATTCCGTCACGTTTCGAATCGGGGACGAAAAAGTAATTTGCGATAGACAAAAAATGGCGGCACTTTCGCCGCCATTTCAGTCCATGCTTAACGGGTGTTTCCTCGAATCGCTTTCAGACAACATCGATTTATCCAAAAATGATATCTCGCCAGCTGGCATGCGTGTCATCAGCGAGTTCTCCAAAACCGGGACACTTCCGGAACAACTCCCGACCGATCTTTTACTCGAAATCATGGTGTTTTCGAATAAATTTTGTTGTGAAAACCTCAAAGATTCTTGCGATAGGAAACTCGCGACACTTGTTTTATCAAGAAACGACGCGATTGAGCTCTTGGAATACGCGCTCGATGAGAATTGTCCGATTCTTGCTTCGTCTTGTTTGCAGGTTTTCTTACAAGAGCTTCCGGAATGTTTACACGATGAACGCGTTGTTGAGATTTTGACAAGTGTCAACCGTTTGCATCGTTCGATTATGGTCGGGGGTGCTTCGTTTTCGCTTTACTGTTTGTTAAGCCAGGTGGCGATGGATCTTGATCCGGGGTCCGATAAATCCGCTCTATTTTTAGAACAATTGGTTGACTCAACCGAAAACACCCGACAAAAAATGATCGCGTATCACATGTTGGGATGCGTGCGGTTACTAAAAAAAGAATACAACGAGGCGGAAAGATTCTTTAAAGCCGCGGTAAACGAAGGCCACGTGTACTCGGTTGTCGGGCTCGCGAGGCTCGGTCGGATTAACGGGAACAAACGCGAATCGTACGAGAAACTTAATTCGGTTATTTCCGATTATACCCCTCTCGGGTGGATGTATCAAGAACGTTCGTTATACTGTGACAATGATGAAAAACGGTGGGAGGATTTGGAGAAGGCGACGGGGTTGGATCCTACGCTTACGTACCCGTACATGTATCGCGCAGCCTCGTTGATGAAGAGACAAGATGTTGAAGAATCAATGGGGGAGATTAATAAGATTCTTGGGTTTAAGTTAGCGGTTGAATGTTTGGAGTTGAGGTTTTGTTTCTTTTTGGTTCTTGAAGATTATCGATCCGCGATTTGTGATGTTCAGGCGATTCTTACGATTTGTCCGGATTATCGGATGTTTGAAGGGCGGGTCCCGGCTTCTCAATTTCAAACACTTGTCCGTGAGCATGTGCCAAGCTGGACAACCGCCGATTGTTGGTTACAGCTGTACGACAGGTGGTCCGCGGTTGATGACATCGGGTCCCTTTCTGTAATTTACCAAATGCTCGAGTCCGAAGCTGCTAAAGGCGTTTTATATTTCAGACAATCTTTGCTTCTCCTCAGGTATTAATTTAATACAGAAAGAACGACTTAATATTTTCAAATAATAATTTACTAATTAAGATTTTTTTTTTAAAAAAGGTTAAATTGTCCGGAAGCAGCGATGAGAAGCTTACAACTGGCACGACAGCATGCATCGAGTGAACACGAGCGGTTAGTTTACGAGGGTTGGATATTATATGATACGGGTCATTGTGATGAAGGGTTAACAAAAGCTGAAGAGTCTATAAGCTTAAGTAGATCTTTTGAAGCTTTCTTTTTGAAAGCGTATGCATTAGCTGATTCTAGTCAAGATCCGACTTGTTCTTCTATGGTTGTATCGCTTCTTCAAGATGCTCTTAAGTGTCCTTCTGATAGGCTTCGTAAAGGCCAGGTTTGAACAATCTTTATCCCTAAAGTCAAAGGTTATTTCAGACATTTTACAAGTAGTAGTGAATTGAAACTGTGGTGTGGCAGGCGTTGAACAATCTTGGAAGTGTTTATGTGGACTCAGGGAAACTGGACCTTGCGGCTGATTGTTATATTAATGCTCTTAAGATCCGGCACACGAGGGCCCACCAGGGGCTTGCTCGTGTCCATTATATGAAAAATGAGAAAGCTGCTGCGTATGAAGAAATGACAAAATTGATTGAAAAGGCACGTAACAATGCATCGGCTTATGAGAAGAGATCTGAATACTGTGAACGTGAACAGACCAAAATAGACCTTGAAATGGTGACTCGATTAGATCCTCTTCGTGTGTATCCTTACAGATATCGAGCTGCAGGTTAGTTAACTTGACTTAATCTAGACATAATGACTTAATGGGTTAAGCCAAACAATGTAGACATATTTTTGTTCTCATATGGGGTTTTATTAAATGCCAGTTTTGATGGACAATCACAAGGAGAAAGAAGCAATAGCAGAGCTATCAAGGGCAATTGCGTTCAAAGCTGACCTACATCTTCTGCATTTGCGGGCAGCTTTCCATGAACACATTGGGGATGTTTCGGGTGCCATGAGGGATTGTCGGGCAGCTCTCTCATTTGACCCAAACCATCAAGAAATGCTGGAACTAAGGAGCCGTGTAAACAGCCAAGAACCCTAATGAATCCAACAACAATTTAGAAAGATTAGATGCAATGTTACACAAATGGTGAAGAAAAGGAGAGATTTTTTATTTTTGAGTTTGTGTGTGTATCTTTGCAAATGTAACAACACTTTATTATGAATATTTGTAAACATTCAAGTTTGTGTATTATTAACATGTGTTTTTGGTCTTGTATTCGTCTGGAGATATAATGTACAAGATGTGAATCTGATTGATTACAAATGGTGTATTGTATCGTTTCATTTCATCAACTGTAAGATTTGCTAGTTTTTATAAAGAATGTTGGTTTTTGTATATGTAGATTTGTAACTGAGAATATCATATTCGATCTAATTACCAATTTTTATAATTTGTTAAAATATCATTTTGTATTGAAAATGATTGATAAGCCATCCATTTTCAAGAATATCATATATATTATTTGCGAATTTTCTATAGGGAATTTGACTTATTAAGGTAATTAAGTATTTCAAATGTTCACATATGGGTAATATTGTTTTTTTTTGTACTCATTTACCCAACTAACTTGTTTCAGCCGTTCAAAAATAACCAACATTACCGGCTATTACCTGTTTTAGCCGGTAACATTGATTTAGCTCGGTTTAAAACATTACGTGGAATCTTACGTGGCCATTATACCCTCGATTACCCCTTTCTCATTTAATTAGGGTTCGTCATCGTCAGCTAACACACCTCGATTACCTTCATCTGTGAGAAATCAATCGATACATCAAATCGACGATTAGGTCTTGGAATTGAAGTTGGAATTGAAGTTGACTGCTAGCATGGCATCCTCATCTACAGGTATGTATGTATCTGTAGATTTTCATTACAATGGATTCTTTTTGCCAAACCCATTGGTGTACTTAGACCCCGTAAAAACAAATGTACGTGATGTGGATTTTGGGGGATTTACGTATAAAGAGTTTCTTTTGTGGCTTACGAAATTAACAAATGGAGAATGTGATAATGTCTACTACTGTATGAGAAAGGAAAGCTTGTGTGAGGGTATTAGAAGAATCGACAATGATGCTGATTATTGGGAGTTTGTGGAGACTGTTTATAGTCTGGAGAGTGATTGTCTTGAGAGTGAGTTAGATGTGTACATTGACCACCGAAATGAACCAATTCTTGATTAGGCTGATAACGAGTTCTTAGAAGATGGTAAAGGGTATGAGTTGGATGAGTTGGATGAAGAGGATGACAAGGATTCTGAAGTTTCAATGACAATGGAATATGAACATGAATGGGATGATGAAGATGAACATACTTTTGATAAAACTGTTAGAGACCCATTCTTGGACAAACTTTCAGGGCATATTAGTGATGATGATGAAGAGGAAGCAAACAATGGGAAACTTAAGGATGTTGTGTTCCCTGTCCATAATGAGAATCAAGAATGGGAGCAAATGGTGCCAGTTTTGGGTATGAAGTTTTCTAATCCATTGGAATTGAAGTTGTGTATCACCAACTATGCAGTCAAAAATGGATATGATTTATGGTATGAGAAAAGTGATCATGAAAGGTTATTGGTAAAATGTTGTAAAGGTAAGACAAATAAACAGGGTAAAGGTTGTCCTTTAGATTATGGGCAACCTGGATGAGCAGTGAAAAATCATTCCAGATTAAATCTCTGAATGATATGCATAATTGTGCAAGAGTGTTCAAATTTGGGTCCATTGTTACCTATAAATGGATAGCAAAGCATTTCATGAATCATATACTTCAGAAACCAAAGATGAGTATAAGGAAGTTGAAAGCTAAAGTCAGCAAGAAATTTAATTTGATTGCAAGTGTTGGTCAATGCAGAAATGCAAGGAAGTATGCATTTCAGGAGATAGAGGGTACTTTGAAAGAGCATTATGCAAAAACATGGAGCTATGGAGAAGAGATAAGAAGGACTAACCCTGGATCAACAGTGAAGATGGATGTAGATGTCATGCCTGATGGAACCACATATTTCTCAAAGTTTTATGTATGTTTCAAGGGATTGAAGGATGGATGGATTGAAGGTTGTAGGAGGGTAATTGGACTAGATGGTTGCTTCCTAAAGGGCATATGCAGAGGTCAGTTGCTCTCTGCTATAGGTAGAGATGCAAATAACCATATATATCCCATTGCTTGGGCTGTTGTATCAGTGGAAAGTAAAGAAACATGGAAGTGGTTTATTGACCTTCTAATTGAGGACCTTGGAATGGGAGTTGGGCATGGACTAACCTTGATATCAGACCAACACAAAGTAATCAATTTTTATTATTTTCATCTTTATTTTAGCTTATGTTATGTTTTTGTTGTTTAAATTTTGTGTCTATTGCTAACAGGGATTACTTGAGGCTGTGAAGGAAAGGGTCCCAGCAGCAGAGCATAGGCAATGTGCTAGGCACATATGTGCTAACTTCCTGAAAAGGTTTAAGGGCCAAGTGTTTAAAAAGATTTTGTGGTATGCTGTTGCAGCTACTACCCCTGCAAAATTTGAACAACACATGAATGAAATCAAGAAATTAGAGCCACTAGCTTATGACCATTTGATGGAAAGGGACCCTAAAACTTGGAGTAAAGCATTTTTTCAGACTGATAGGGCTTGTGATGCATATGAAAATGGTATCTCTGAGAGTTTCAACTCTGTGATTGAAGTTGCTAGGAAGAGACCACTAATCACCATGTTAGAAGAAATTCGAATTTATGTGATGGAGAGGCTTTATAGACAGAAGATTAAGGGGCAATCTTGGGATTTAACCATATGTCCTACCATTAGGCTGAAGTTGTCCAAGCTTAAGGATCTTCAAAGGTAAGTGCTTAAAACTGTTTGTCCTTATATATGTTTGTCTTTAAACATGTTTGTCCTTATATATGTTTGTCTTTAAACATGTGTATATGGACAAAGTTTTGGAAAGTAATACCATCTGGTTATCAACAGTATGAAGTCAGACTTGGGTATGATGCATATGTTGTGGATATTGGTAGTAGGACATGTGCCTGCAGAACTTGGCAGTTAACAGGTTACCCTTGTGTGCATGGGTATGCTTGCATTGCAAGCCTCAACAGGGATGTAGAGGAGTATGTGTCACCATGGTTTACCACATCAATGTACCTAAACTGTTACAGGAATACCATTAACCCACTAAATGGTAGTGACATGTGGCCTCATGTAGACTACATCAGCCTATTGCCCCCCAAAAGGAGAAGGCTACCAGGAAGACCATCAACAAAAAGGAAAAGGGATCAGATTGAGAGGGAAAACCAAGGAAAAAAGCATTTAATCACAAAAAGAGGTAGTGTGATGAAATGCAACATATGTATGGAAAGTGGGCATAATAGAACAACCTGTCCTCAGAAACCAATTGGGGAATCATCAAATGCAAGTTCAAAGAAAAAGAAATCCAAGAAAGCTGGTATGTTTGATATATTTATTTGTATATAACTTGTATAACTTAACATACTGGGGCATAACTTAACTTTTCAAGTAATACAAAACAGATAAAGTGAAGGTTGTATTGGCACATGAAGTTGATATTGACAGTGACATTGAAGTTGAAATAGAACCTCAAAGTGATGTTGACTCTTTTGATCTTGAATTTGAAGATGATGTGCAACCTGAAGTTGAAGATGGAGTAGAACCTGAAGTCCAAGATGGAGTGCAACATGAAGTTCAAGATGAAGTGCAAGCTGAAGTTGAACCTGAAAATCATCCTGAAGTTCATGATGCTAACCAAGTTGAAGTTCACCTTGCAGTTCAAGCTGAAGTTGAACCTGAAGTGCAAGTTCAAGTTGAAGATGCTAACCAAATTGTAGTTCAAGATCAAGTGGAAATACCAGCTTTTCAAGTTGTAGTGGGAAAGAGGGCAAGGAAACCTTCAGAAAGAATTACAAAACTGAAGATAAGAAAGATGTGGGAGGGAAAACAGGGCAGTAGTGATGACAATCCGTATGAGTTGGATTAACTTTTGGCTTATTGTACTAGTTGGAATACCTTAACTTTTTGCACATCTTTTGGGTGTAATGAATGTTTAACTATGTTATGTAAAACTTTTGACACATCTTTTGAAGTCAATGTTCCCTGGAATGTCTATAATATATTACCATCTTTTGCACATCTTTCTAATACCATTAGTATTATTTATAATTTATTACCAACTTTTAGAATATCAACTGTAATCACAATTCCTTTACAGTGTAATCATAATTCCATTACATTGTTTGAACAATTCAATTCCAATGATTCACAATAACATTACACGTTTTGTACACTACCATTCCAATGATTCAATTACCATCTTTTGCACATCTTTCTAATACCATTTGTATTATTTATAATTTATTACCATCTTTTAGAATATCAACTGTAATCACAGTTCCTTTACAATGTAATCACAATTCCATTACATTGTTTGAACAATTCAATTCCAATGATTCACAATAACATTACAAGTTTTGTACACTACCATTCCAATGATTCAATTACCATCTTTTGCACATCTTTCTAATACCATTTGTATTATTTATAATTTATTACCATCTTTTAGAATATCAACTGTAATCACAGTTCATTTACAATGTAATCACAATTCCATTACATTGTTTGAACAATTCAATTCCAGTGATTAACAATAACATTACAACTTTTGTACACTACCATTCCAATGATTCAATTACAATGATTCAATTCCATAACAATGTTTATTACTATCTTTTATACTACCAAGTTTAATACCCATTCCATTACAATGTACTATTCCATTCCAATGATAGAATATAACCTTTTTCATTGAAAACATCACAAAAGCATACATAATTTAGTCATACTACATCATAATACATAATTTAAACAACATTTTGACATACAAGAGAAACAAGAAAATTAATGCAAGTCTATGGGTAAACAATTTCCAGTTGACTTTGTCAAGTTCTTGTTTATTCCTGTTCTTCTCTTCGTCAATCTTCATCCTGCATATGCTGATTTCATTCTCCAAGGTACAAATTTTCAAGGTAAGATTGCAGCTTTCTTCTGCTTTCATCCTGTAATGCCCTCTTCCATCTTTCCTCCCTTCATCCTCATCCAACCATTGCCAAAATTTACAGCTTGGATTTTTTCCATTCTTCAAGAAATTTATAAGAACATGTTAAATTGAAGGATGAAGTAGAAGTAAAAAATATGAATTACCAGAGAGTTTTGACAAACTCTGAATTTCCTTCCAGGATTGTCCGGGGTTCTTGATGTCTTCACACGAGATGGCAAATCGCAATCACATGGATGATCCGGTTGTAATTCGTCTTGTCGTTTGGAAGAAAAGGATGAGGAAGAAGATGCCATCGATCGATCTAGGGTTTTAATTAATAAGCTGTCGTATCTCACCCTCTTATAATGTAAACACTTCTCAATGCCACGTAGGTGATGAGTATTGTAGCGTACAAGCCACGTAGATGCCACATCACCCAAAACTTACAATAGCCGGTAATGTTGGTTATTTTTGAACGGCTGAAACAAATTAATTGGGTAAATGAGTAAAAAAAAACAATATTACCCATATGAACATTTGAAATACTTAATTAAGTAAAATTTTCTTTTCTATATCAAGTTTTTTATTTACTGTAACCTGGACCTCGAATATCTACAAAAATTCCTATTCCAAAGTAAAATCTCTGCTTTTAGACCCCTTTTTCGTGATGTGGGAAATATTTTTCCCAGATTGATTATGGGAAGATTCAAGAACGGGATTTTAGCAGCGGAAATATTATTTCTTCTTGCAAGATTATTAAGCGGCATTGATGGGGTGGTGTCGGCGGTTTCTTCTTCGTGTATGATTGCTTACGACGACGGTGGTGCTCCTGCCGTTCTTCAGTCTTTTGAGTGTGTTGCTCAGTGGGGTTTCTTGGTTGAATCTCTGAAAAATTCAACGAAAAATTGTGAATTTGCGAGTCTTCAAGGGCACAGGAAGTACCAAGAGGATCGTGTCACCTGCAATCTTGGTATACGAATACCTTTAATCGGTAAGAATGGTTTTAATTTCATGGTTTCATGCTTTCTTTGACATTATTGTTGTTGCTTTGAGTTTATGTTAAATGTCTTAGTATTATACGTTCTTAACGGATTTCATGTCTTATCCAATCTTCTCATAAATAGATTATATTGTATAAACACGAATGCAGGAAAAGATGCGAGAAATGCAGCTAAGGTTGATCTACTTGCTATATTCGATGGCCATGGAGGAACAGAAGCTAGTGAAACAGCCAAACAAAACTTACTTGATTACTTTCTTGTTCATGTTATCGCGGGCGCTTTCAAGAAATCATCAACACTTTATGATAATCAGCATGATTTAGTAAAAGGGTAAAGCTACGTTAATACATTGTATGGATCATAGATATGATGATTTCTGAACAACTTACAGTTATTTGATTTTGGTGTAGTTCCCATGGATCTTTACTAGAGATCGAAGATAAATCCTTACATGACATCGTGAAAGAAGCTCTATTGGGCGCAATTCGTGATATTGATTTGAAATTTTCTTTGGTAAGTAGAAAAACTTAAAACTCTTTGTGTGATTCAAGATTTGTTGAAATTAATCGCTTTAATATTCTCGTTTGATTTGTTATTAATAATGTAGGAGGCGATTCAGAAAGGTTATAGTGCAGGTTCAACTGCGAGTATTGTTGTTTTGTTGAATGATGAAGAATTAATGGTTGCAAATGTTGGCGATTCCAAAGTCATCTTATGTTCAGGTAGAATCACTCTTAAAACTGCGATTTTTTTTTTTCTGTAATAAAAAAATTGAAAAAAGAAAATACATAGGGCAAAATCGTCATTTTTAAAAAAAAATTCAAAACAAATTGGACCAGTTTTACAACAAAATTTGGGCCATTATTGCTAGTCCAAACCTTTTTGGACCAAAATGACAATTTTCGACATACCATAGGGACCATTTTCGCAATTTTATCTTTGAAAATTGCAGGATATGCCGCTGAGGAATTGACAAGTGATCATCATCCAGATAGAGATGATGAACGAGCCCGAATAGAAGTTGCTGGTGGTTTTGTTCTTGACTGGGATGTGCCACGTGTCAACGGTGTATTGGCCGTGTCTCGAGCCATTGGTGATGTTTTGTTAAAAAGGTTAAACCTTTAAACTCATTCTACTTTCAAGGGTCTCTTGTCATGTTACAAACTTCATAACGAAATCAAAATGTTCATTGGAAAAGTATTTATCAGGCTAAAGTAACAATGGACACATGATTAAAATGACCATTATACCCTCCAATTTGTTTTTGATATTGAAAGTTTCTGAATAGGTACGGTGTGATTGCTGAACCAGAAACAGTAGGCTGGCGAAGGATGAGTGATAAAGATGGCTACTTGGTGGTTGCAAGTGATGGTGTTTTTGAGAGTTTGACTCCTCAAAGTGTTTGTCAACTTATTGGAGATGCAAAAGTTCAAGAAAATGGGACCCCATATGACAAATTTCCTTTTTTACCCTCGGTGTCATTGGCATATTGCATCGTGAAGACGGCTTTGCAGAGGGGTAGTACTGACAATTTGAGTGCTATTGTGTTTCCATTGGCACAAGCAGCTGGTGTGATTCTAGTGCACAAGGATGAGTTGTGACAATGCTTATAGTTAAAAAATGAAAACAATCTTTAACAACATAGAATTTGGAAAACTAAAGTCAAATATATTGGTTATAATAAATATGTCAAATAGGGGAAAGTGCAAGAAATAGCAATTTATTTCCGTTTTGTTTTTCTATTACCGCATTGTGTATTGAAATATGTATCAAATTATAGAAATGTCATCTACATACATAATAATTTTCATTGTTATAACTGCCTATATATTTATAATATAACGTTAAAATGAATAAGATAAAATCATGTTGTTGTAGGTTGCATTTAACTCTCCCAAATACAATATTTGTCATCCATAATTCCATATGTACAAACATCAAAAGTGATCAAATATCTTTCCAATTGATATTAGAGTAAATACCTTTCAGAGAGACCCCTATGAAGAAGTCATTATATATACTCGTTCTAATGAACCTGTGAATGAAAGCATATTGCTATATTTTGGTTTTAATGAAAATATATTGCAATAAAATAGTCACGTAGCCTTAATTTAGGTAATATTAAAACATAAAAGGATTTTAATGAATTAAAATATAAGACAATAATGTTTTTTTTTGGTGATAATATGTTAGTTTTTTCTATAAAGGTTAATGTTTTGAATGTCTTTATGTTATTCCATGTTGTAATCGAATGATTAATTGCTTGAATATTTGACAAATATTCATTATGTATATAATTAGTAAGCAAAATGACCAAAAAAAAAAAAATTCATATTGGTTAAGTTTTTTTTCCTGACAACTAAAATACTGATATTTTATGAATCATCTAATTAATCCTTTTTACGGAAGTAATTTAATGTAAAGGTTGGTGCATATTTTATAAAATGAATAAGGATAGTATTTCTAACTCTCTATCAAGATGAGATATGTTACATTTACACTCATATATATAAGTTATTATCAAGTGACAATAATTATATAATTAGCTTCACTAAGCATGTCATTGTCAAGCACACCGATATGATTTTGTCAAATCGTTCATTATATATATATATATATATATATATATATATATATATATATATATATATATATATATATATATATATATACTTTGAAGAGTTTAGAACTATTTGATATCATTATATTATATATATTAAATTTAAATGACCTTAGGAAATAGTAACTTTTGTGGCTTTAGGTAAAGTTTTGGTGAATTAGATACTTTTAAAACTTTTATATTTTTATGTTTTGATTAAGTTTTTATGATTTTAGGTTCTTGCCATAAATCTTTAGACATTTTTCCTCCTTGCAATAAAAACTTTTATATTTTGGGGTTTTTGCTACAAATTTTTAGTGACTTTGATACTTTTCGTCATTGCAATCAAAACTTTTATATTTTAATATAAAAAACACAAAAAACCTCCTTTAGATTTTTGCCACCATATTGTCCAAACTTTGACAACTTTCACACTATTACAACAATATTTTTAGATTTTTTTCACCAGTATCAATTCTTTAGGTTGTTGTACACTTTTGGCATTTAATTTTAAAAGATGTCGATTTTTCCCCTATTTGTGACGATTTACACTTTCATCACATATATTTTAAAATTTGTCTATTTTTTCCGTATTACCTCAACAGCGGCGGCGTAGCCACAGGATCTTTACTAGTTTTTAATTAACTTTGCTTTCGGTTTTAATAATTGAAAATGATGTCGATACGATATAAGTCAAAGAGTCGTGTCTGTATCCCACTTCTTGCGTTGTATGATTAATCACAAAATGCACAGAAAATGTTATAAGTAAAAAATTAAAGGAATAGTATTGCTATATAGCCTATAAATATAGACGAAGAGACGTCGTGAATTAGATTGTAATCGTTAACCAATTTTTTATTTTATAATAATAATAATAATAATAATAATAATAATTATTATTATTATTATTATTATTATTATTATTATTATTATTATTATTATTGTATGTGTAAATTCGAATGGATATGTTTGCTCCACTTTTTTGGTAAAATTTGATGTATTAAATGTGATTTTATAGATAACTCTTTTTCTACAAAATATTTTTCAGAAACAAATATATTTGTAGATTTTGATGGTTTTGTGTGAAAATAAAAAATAGGCCCGAAATAATTCATTACTATTATAATAAGTTGATAATTACTATATAAATAATTAAAAAACAACTGCTTAATAAAAAAAAAAGATGCACTTTTGGTTCCTTTGAGACTTACAGATTAGATCTTTGTGGTTCGGACCATTCTAATTGATAAAGTTGGAAACTTTATCCATTATGGAGCTATTAAGATCCATGCATGAGTTACGATGTCTTATTAGTCAAAAAGACCCATTGTGTGTGTTTTAAACTTATGAGGGACCAATCATGTTAAAATTTCTCAAAACGACCTACAGTGTTATCTTCTGCCGACCACAAGGACCACTTATGCAATTTTGTTTAAAAAGAATTAATTTGTCAATGTTAAAAATGTGATAAATAAAATAAAGTATGTTTTGAATATTATAATTGATGGGTTTTGGTCATAAGACATCCTATGTGCTCATACAAACCCTAATGCTTGGATCTAAGACTATAAACCCTAATTCTAGTATATGAAATCGATATTAACATATGAATGGGTTTTAGAACATACCTTTGATATATAGCAATTACAATCCTAATTCCACCTTGAATTTGATGGGTTTTGGTCATAAGACATCCTATGTGCTCATACAAACCCTAATGCTTGGATCTAGGTTTCTCTATTGTACATGCTTTGAATCCAAGACTATAAACCCTAATTCTAGCATACATATAATCATATTAACATGAGAATAAGTATATAGTGTTACCTTGATTGTTATGTAGCAATAACAATCCCAAATCTCCTTGTATTGACTTTGGAAGGCTTAGAGTCACAAGTGTCACTCCTCTAATGGCTCACAAACACCATAAGCAAGTGGAGAAGGTATAAGGAGAGAGGTGAGAGGTTAGAATTCGTATCTAGGACCTCTTGGGAAGGGATACACGAATTCATGGCCCTAGGGGTGTTTATATAGGTGTAGAGATAGGGTTTCAGTCATTATCCTTATCTAGTTGATTATCCATTAAGCAACCAATAAGATAATCCTTGAATCCTTATCATACTCGAATTCTAAGGGATTTACACCTCAAATTCGTTCACCATATATATAAGATAATCCTTACCTTATTTTGTAACTATCACATAATTACAATTCAGCCCCTCTAGTTTAATTAATTACATTTGATCACAAAACTAATTCTTAATTAATTATTGACCAATATTAATTAAACAAATATGATTTCTCCTTTAATATATTATTCTTATAACATATTAATAAATCATATTATCCTCTCTCTCTTTATTCATTTCTCCAATCAAGTTGCTTTGGTGAAGGCAACCCAAAAGGACCATGCACCATCGGGTCAAGTACATACCAAAATAGTTATGGACTTAGACACTAATCCAACAGTCTCCCACTTGGATAAGTCTAACAACTATTCTGCGTATGACTTCAGATCCTGATCTGCAATCGTAGCTTTCCAAAGCCGCTGTCAACTCTGATCATATCAGATACGCGTGTCCTTAGATAAGGGATCATATATTCCTCCATTCTAGATATCGTATGAGATATGATTTCTAATCATTCTCTTTGTACTACTTCTCGATTTCCGATTTATGACGACAGACTAATTGAACAAATCAAATTAGCCCTAGCCCGGCCGAGCATTTACGTATGTCATCACTAAACCATCGAGGGGCCCAAAGATATCGCTTTTATCCTACTTTGGATAAAAGGAACGGATAAACTTTGATACAATGCTTGCTTGCACTCACTCACCGAATTACACACAACAATATGTTTTATAACACCAAGTTACTGGTGCGTTTACATATTATCAATGTGCAACCGATTCGCAAGATACAACTCACACATCTCGGTTTCAAGAATATAAGATGTTATCGTCTCACCAATCACTCGTAATACAATTCATGGAGTGATCCAAGTGAGCGTGGGTTTAATCCAATGCTCAAATCATATTCATAAGCACTCATGAACGTTGCAGCAAACATTTGCTTATGTCTAATACTCTTCTAGACAATCCACACACCAATTCACGACAGTCTTCATTCATATCTACTTCCAACATATGAACGACTGTGGCCCGTTTGAATAATTCGATTATTCTTAATAAACTCAATTATTCTGGAAGTCAAAACATGCAAGGTGAAACACAAGAATAATACTAATCCCATATGGCCTCAAACCTTTGAGTATAAACAAAACACGTTTTATTTATCACCATATCGATTACTCATTATTTTCGTTTCGGGTAATCAACTTCGCATTTGAATTCCAACACTTGTCCCATGCTCCTAGCATGCACACAATGTTTACCTATGGTTCTTACTTTTGCGAAATAGACAAATTGAACACATTTCCAATCATTCTCATTTTACAACACCAAATCCATTTTCTTAAGTGTAAGAATGTCAAATTCTTGTTACTTATAGAATATACTAGATTCTAACACTTTATGCAACGATCCTTTTGTAATGTCACTGCACCAAAGTCTCAAAGACTATTGCCAATGATATTACAAATTCCTCTATCGGAGATTGTTACAAGACAATTCCTTAGATATGATGTCTCTCACTCAAAGTACATTCCTTTGAACATCCTTTCGCATAAAGTTTCTAATCTAGACATAGATTTTACTTCCCAACATGGACACACTTCCATATTTTCTATATGACAACTCATTCTTAATAGAATCTTATCTATTCGTAATGATGTCGATATCGTCCATCCAATATGGAAACACTTCCATAATTTCCAATACTATACTTCCAACTACTCGCAAGCGACCAATCCTCGTCGAACTTTGGATTGTCCTTTGATAGTTGTTTAATTATTTTAGTCAAAACCAATTCTAGTCCCTTTTCCCTCTAAATGCACTATACATTTGGAAAATTTTAGAATGGTCAAACATTAAAGCATTCGCAATCGATCCTATACCCGAAGCGTATGGGACACGACGCATAATGTTTTATTTGCTATGTTCTCAAAACTCGAATTGCGAAGAGGAATGCCGTAATCACAATCGAAATTTTAAGAACACACTATGTACCTTTGACTAAATTTATTAACATTCCACAACCTAAT